TGCCACTATTGTGACCGTGGTGAAAAGGTAAACAAATAGTACTGGTTTGTTGCTTAAAGTGGAAACCACGATGACAATGTCGAGTACAAAAGATATAATCTCTTTGTTTGTGATTTGATGTGTATGCCTATTCATCTGTTGCTATACAGCATTTGTAATTTAACATGTCCACCCCAAAACTTTAAACTTTATTCATTTTACAATAAAATGCAACGCTAGCGTTTCATGGATATATGTGTTATTAAAAAAAATGTTGACAACAATTTATTGAAACCAACTTTAACACGTCACTGAATATCACTGATCAATAACCTTACAGAATATATTTATGAAATAGTGGGGCACAATTTTGCCTCGCCTCGGTAAATAAGTATCTTAGAGGATGACACTTGAGATCAATATGCTTTAAAATTCTGACACCGTCGCAATTGTACAGATATATTCATATAATAGCTTTGTCAAGAAAAGTGAATAGTGTATTTGATTGTAGCGGGTGTTCTTCGTGTAGTTCCCTGACCCATAACATACAGTTAAATAGGAAATAGCATTGACTATAGATAGAAAACGATGTATCTGTTCAGAAAACGTATTTAAATATATTGTAACAATATCGTTAATGTCTCGACCCCTTTATATAAAAATACTTGATATCTGTTTAAATGTTTTATACAGCAATCAGTGCTGAACGTTAAAAAGGTCAACAATATTTTTCTATTTGATATATAATTGTGTAGACTTTAATAAGGTAAAAACTTTATAACTGTATTTACTTCAAACGACGTACATATAACTGATGATACTGTGTTGATATAAACCTCGATTTTTATTACAACGTCAATTGTAATCAACACAGACAATAAATATTAGAAATATAATGTATTGATAAATCGTGTCCGACTTTAATCTTTGGCAAAGCGTATTCTATTTTCCTGATATCTTATATCTTTTGATACCATTGATCTTTTTCAGAATGAAAGGTCGTTTATTGACGAAAGTGTAACATAACCTGTTTTAGTCAATGCCCATAGACGTCACTAGGTCATAATTTCGTTTGTTGTGCCAATGCTGTTTATTTCATTGAGTTACTAATAAACATATCAAATACACTATTTCATTTGCACCTGTCATATATAAATCAAAGCTTTTCAATGCAAAGTTATAAAGACACTAAATTACTTTTCTGTACAAGTTGTCCTGAGCTCCTTGTCATAGAAGAAATCCATGACGAGAGAAAATTTGTTCCACCTGAAATATCTTCAATGGAGACACACTTCATTAGATGTTGTATAAGCGACCTCTAAGGACAGTACTTGTTCGACCGATTTCTTATACAGTATTTAAAGACAAATAAAATGTACTAATTAACAAATTGTTTCAACAAAATATTTTATTTCAGTAAATTTTCCAATTTTCTTTGCGGTTTTAAATATGTTATTACTCTGTTTAACTATTTAACGTGATAAATCGACCTTTTTATGAGAAAGCGTAGGATGTGATACGCATGGCCTCTGTCAATTTCTACGTGTTCAGTTTTCACGCATGCTGGATTTCAAATACCACGACTCCCTCTGTTAACTATTCAGAAATGTAAACAGACGAATTACTGATTCTACTTATTAGAATTCTTCCATGTAGAATACTCGATGAAGGATATCTTCACTCTGGTGAAATATTATAATCACAAGATATCAGATAACGGATGAGACGTGAAGGATAGGAGAGAAAGTGATAGAATGCCAGAAGGAAGGTGACCGGACAAAGGTAAGTATATCTGATATACTGCTTTATATTATCTGTTAATGAATCTATGTCCTTTAAATACACGATAATATTCTGTAATTATGCACATATAGATATGCTATCGACGTCAAATATCATACATGTAACTAGCGTTTCATAGTGTGTAGGCTATTAACTTTATTAAATATTTATAAATTAATGTTGGCAGTTTTTCAAGAAACCATAGGCTTGACTCTATATATTTACATACATTTTTATATTTTCCCATCATCACAGTTTCACATACGTAAAGATTCAACATCTTTAATGTTCCTGTTCTCATCACCATACAATAACATGTCATTGAAATCAATACCATTGTCAAATTGAAATCTGAAAACAAACTCCGAAAATATCTTCATACTGCAGTAAAATGACTTTCAGTATCAAATTGTGTACCATCTTTATACCATTTACAAAACTTGATAACAAGCACACTAGAAACGATTCACTGCTGTAAATATTGGCTGGTAAGATTACTGTATCTATTTCAATTCTTATTGATGCTGTTAAATTGACATTTTATATACATATTGTTTTAGATTTAATATAATAATATAAATTATAACTTTATAATAATATAGAAATAAGTAGAACTGATTCACTAGGTCCAAGGCCCTCTCTGTTTCACTGGTCCTGTAATTTTTAAAACTATTCCATTCAATGTTTTCAAAAAGTGAGAAACATTTCAGCTCATGAGATTGCTTTGTTCTGTATATAAAACAGCGATATATAAATGCATCACTCTGTAACAGGTGAAAAATGTTACATTTTGTATATCATACTTTTTATTAGTTTAACAGGATCATGTCATGTATGCTGGTATCTTTATTGAGAATCAGTGACTTGACCTGATCATGACATGTATGCTGGTATCTTTACTGAGAATGAGTGACTTGACCTGATCATGACATGTATGCTTGTATCTTTACTGAGAATGAGTGACCTGACCTGATCATGACATGCACCGTAATAATGTATGCTGGTTTATTGCATTGTGCTGGTGAAATAAAGGACTTTATTAATTTCATTAAAACAGATTTGATAGTAATAATATCACTTTTCCATTGATGATATATCTGTTGTTTTTACTTATCAGAGTTACTTCATTGAAATCCACCATTTTTTCTGTTCAGATAGAAATGAATCGGATGCCGAATTAATTGGTTCTCCATTAAATCTTTTCCGTGTAAATTTTGAGTTTTCCCTGATTTTATATTTAGAAGGATTTTGTAAGCTATTTTTACCAGACAACGACATAAATTGGTAGAATACCATGTAAAGCATCCCAATCAAAAATGGTGTCAATCTCGTCCCCAAGCATAAGATCATATTATTTGCTATAATTTCCCAATTTTGTTTTAAACATGTTTTTCTTTATGCTTGGAATTAGCTACTTTTCAGTTTCACTTTAAGTATATTTTGCACTGGCATGCATTCATGCATTCGTATAAAAGCAAATACATGCATCACAAAAATTGAAGTCAAAGAATATCACTCAACATAGCAATACAATGTTCAAATTCATAAATGAAACTTAAAAGCAGAATTAGCGAAATCAAAATATCGTGTCACGGTTGCTAGATCAGTCAAGCGACGCGACTCTCCTTTTTCTCAAAGTAAGCGGAATTTGTCAAGCATATCATATCTTTTATGTATTTAATAACAGTTCATTTAAGCCGACCTGTAAATGTGTATAAATATTTAGCAAAATTACCGCATTGCAAGGTGACATTAAATCCTGTTGTTCATCTCACCTAAAATTATAACATGTGTAAGACGGGACACCATGTGTCGATGTACCTAATGAGCGTCCTGGGACATTTTCGCGCCCAGCATTTCATTCATGTGGATTATATTAATGTTTTTTGTGTTGCACACTTGGCATAACATGAAAAAAATCACCCTGATTGACAGACTGTGAGGTAATGAAATGCACCATTGAAGTTAACACGGAGAATGCACACATAGCTGAACTGACACGTAGGGGTAAATGTCCAGCGATGTTTTCATTTATGAAGAATTGATACACAAATAAATCTCCACTACAGAACTTCTGGAAGTAAATCATGTCCCAGAATTCTCAATCCTCCCATAACTCTCAAAATCCCATAACTCTCACTAGGTGCAAGATGCCGCTGATCATCCAATTTATGACGTTGTTGTGCGACTGTCATGCCAGTCATAACTATCTTATTGTTTAAACTCTATCATTGTTATAGTACTTGTTCACAAACAAGGGTGTCCCCTGTTTGCAGTCATTTTTACACATCTTCATGTTGAAAAAAAACAACAAACAGACAGTTCTCCAAAGTATATACTCATAATTAATCTTGTATGACCAAAATCAAATTAAAGAATGAAGTGTTTAAAATGAACTAGATAATATTTTCTTCATTTGTAAAAAGCGCCATTGACCATGGCCTTAACCTTTGACCCCTGAAACACGACAATGTCCAAAGTATACTTGTAATTGACCTTTGTATAAAATCTGTGTAAGAATAAATTTGTCGAGAATTGAAGGATAGGGAACGCTATTTGCCTCCTCCTATTTTATTTCAGGGGCATAGAAAAATAGACAATTGTTAGTTTTTAGGGGATGGGTTTCATTACTTAAACACCAATTTGAAATGTTGAGATACCATCAATATCGAAAGGGCAAGCTTCGTCTGCCGATCGATGGCAACGCCAAGTAAATCTTGGTCAATGTAAGTCAATCATGTAATGAGATAAGTATGATGACTATAAAACTTCCAAATAATGTTCACCAGCCATCGTCTCTGTCAGTTGCTGAATTCTTTGACGGCTATCACAGCCAGTCTACCTTTCAGCAGATGGGACACAATGCAAGCGAAATCTAATAATCATGCTCTGCTTGTGTGGCTCTACTACTGATGTTCTACAGTATCAAGTCTCCATCACTATTAGCATATTCAGTCTTACACGTTTGGAGGTTTAAAACAATAGTTGGATTATGGTACGATGCACTTTATTAATGACATCTAACGCTCCTGATAGTGTTTTACTTGTATGAAATAAGTTATTATGTATGTAGAGTAAAATCTGATTTTTTTTGTCTTATCTGATGGAAAAAGGTTATTGGTACAGTTCAGTGAAATCAACATAAATCATGATAATTTTCTAATGCATTCTTTATTTTGGCAGTTGTTTGTTGTGGTTGCTGTGACGAATAACAACAGTTGGACCAGTACAAAGTTTCAATGGCGGTGAGATCAGCACTTATTACGGTGATATGGACAATATGTCAGATCACTTGGCGTGTGTTCTTCTATATCAGGACTAGGCGAGTAGTGCGATTCCTCTTCATGGTGCTTCTGTTGGTTCTCTATTGTGAGTACTTTCATTATTTTGTTGTGTTGCTCATGTGTAAATGGCCAAAGTTACCGGAAAGTGAAGGTTTCCTTTATGGAAATGATGATATCAACAAGCCAGTCAAGGCCATGGTTATAGCAGACACTCACCTACTTGGAATAAGGACAGGAAATTGGTTTGATGCATTTAGGAGGTAAGTTTATTAACTGTTAATTGGAATTTCTTTGTCATAGTGGCAACTGCTAATATTCAACATCTCACTGTCTGTGTATATTGAAAACAAGATGACAGTTTGGTTGTTGTGTGGCTCCATATAATCATAGATTCGGAGACCACTGTCATGTGAAACATCAGCTGTTGTGTTATGGTAACATCTTCAATAGACCTAAGATTTTGTATGACCCAAATAACTGTAGACGCCATCATCATATGACATTACCTGTTGTGTGGCCACATTATCTGTAGACACCAGACACCATCATCATATGATCTTATCTGCTGTATAGCCTCATTATATGTAGACACCATCGTCATATGACTTTCCATGCTAGGTGACCTAATTTTCTGTAAACACCACCATCATATGACCTTACCTGTTGTGTGGCCTCATTATATGTAGACACCACCATCATATGACCTTACCAGTATGGCCTCGTTATCTGTAGACACTGCCATTATATGACTCTACCTGTTGTGTGGCCCCCAAATCAGTGACAATAACCATTTGACTTTACTGTTGTATAGCCCCGTTGTGTGTAGACGCCAACATCATTTGACCTTCCCTGTTATGTGTGGCCCCATCATCTGTAGATACAATAACCATTTGACCTTACAAGTTTTGCAACACCATTATCTGTAGACACCACCATCATGTGACTTTACTCGTTGAGTGACCTCAATATCTGTAGATTCCTTCGTCATGTCAGTGTACCTGTTGTGTGCCAAATAAACTGTAGACATAATAATATTTTCTTATGACCTAAGCTGTTATGTAACATCTAAATTTATGAAAGCCAACTTCGTCATATGGATAATGTGTGACCCGATTATCTGTAGACATAGCCACCGTATGACCTTAGCTGTTGTTTGACCCCATCTTTAGTAGACATAGTCGTCATATGACGTTAGCCGTTGTGTTACTGCATCGTCTGTAGAAACCATCATCGATTTGTCATGTGAATTTAGTTGTGTTGTCCAGTGTCAAGTGACTGATGTGTTGTGAAACTCCATAAAATAATGCATGGCTGTCTTTTTTCCAGAGAATGGCAGATGGAAATATCCTTCCAGACAAGCATGTTGATACATCGTCCTGATGTGGTCTTCATTTTAGGTATTGTTAAGTTGTAATGTATACATATTCGTGTTTGATAATCCATGTGATAAAGTATTCCAAATAACATCCTGTGGAAGTTTGTGTTTATATGAAGTGACTGACAAACTTACACATTTTCTATCTTTCTTGCAATTTCGAAATTATCGTTCTGTCCCTAAAGCTATACTTATGATGTTTCCCTTTTTCGCTGGCTATTAAACTCTTGGTGTTGTAAGGTCTAAAATCCTTAAAAAAGAGCACTAGTTTAATGAAATGTAAACATGCACGTCTGTTAATGGAATACATTGACTGTGAATCAGTCAACAACATGCCAAAGATTGCTTCCTTTTCATAATCACAGTTTGATTATTAGTTTGATCATGGTTGAAGAACTCAATTCTCACAGAGAACTGTTTTCAGCAAACCCTACCTTATTTTCAAAAATTAATATATTTTACAAATTATCACTGATTCTGTGGTGTTATTCTAAATCGTAATCTGATTAAAGTTGTTTAATGTCAGAACTTTTTTATGCTGATAATTACATCCTAAAACTCAAAATATTATACAAGTCAGTCATTTAACAGGTGATCTGCTAGATGATGGCAGGTGGGCCACTGATGCAGAGTTCAAGAAGGATGTTGCCAGATTCAAAAAAATGTTTTCAACACCGAAAGATACAACTACAAGGGTACTTGTAGGTAACCATGACATTGGATTTCATCACATGTAAGTGCAGCTCTATAAGGACAGATTCAGACGGGTTAAGAATCAGGATCTCTCCACATGTCTAAGGGGGTTCTGATTCAGATCTGGGAAGTCATTCGATTTGTTGGGGTTAATTAATTTAATTCTGTGAATTTTTAGATAAATCATATAGAAACCTAACTGTTTAGCTAGAATTTCTTTACATCTATTTAGATACAATATCTTAACACCCCCTTAAAGAATGGTACGGGTTGGTACCTTCAGTAATGAAATATTGTTTATTGTAAAAAAAAACTTGAGTGTTCTATAATTGGCTGCAATCAAACAGGTAAAAAGTGAAAGTAATAGAAATAATGATACTAAGGTACTTGTGTGTGCCGGTCGCATTTTGGCTGGGGTGGCAAGGTTAAAGTCTCTGAAGGTCTTTATCATTAGCTATCAACTTATGCTCAACTACATTATGCACGCGGAGCAGTCGCCAGGTACTGACCGCAGGTAGGTTGGTATCATACAGGAACTCCGGCTTTCATCCACCAACCAAACCTGGCACGTCAGTAAATGACCCAAACTTTTAATAGAATGTAAAGCGTAAATAAACCAAACTAAAAATAAAATTCAAATCTCACTTCAATGTGAGGCAAAATCAGTATCATAATTGCAGTTAAAAGGTCTAACCAATTTTTTTTTTTTAAAGTTAGATTATCCAATGTGGTCCTACTGATCAGTTACCCCCCTTTATCAAACGTGTTTGATTGAAGGGAAGACAACTTTACCCACTTACTAAAATCAGTCAACAATTTGAAAATTGTGTAATTATAGTTCTGCACAGTGCAGGTTAAATCTTTAACAAAAAAAGACTTAGTTCAATGATACATTTGTTTCCTTTGCAGAAACCTCATTTCTGTTTTTATATTTGATTTGATTTGACATGATATATCAGCAGTCATTGCTTTAGATATTAACATAAGTTTCACTTGACTAAAAATTCAGATTCATTTGTTATTGCTGCCGTGCATATAATTTGAGACAATTTTATTATTTAAAATTTTTTCATCAATTTATAGGATGAAAGAAAATAGAAACAGACGATTTGAGAAAGCATTCTCGTCACCTTCAGTCCAGCTTTTTGAGTTTCATGGAAACCTGTTTGTGTTGATGAATAGCATGGCCATGGAAGGAGATGGGTGCAAGTTGTGTGCTGAGACAGTCAACTCTCTGGAAAAAATCTCACAGCAGCTCAAGTGTGCAGAGGTAATTGAAAAAATATACTTAAACATAAGTCACATTCATCAGACATGACCAACACAAGGTTTATACACTAATCAAGAAGTAGAAAGTGTACAGGTTGACAGTGAAATAATTTAAGATACTAAGATTTCTCTCCATCACTTACTATGGCAAGCTTTCCATCACGCTTTCTCTTCCTGAACACCTGGTCTTATTTTCCTTGCTTGCACGTTTTCCCGAAGCATCCGTGTAAATCTTTCTTTTTTTCATATTTTGTCTTAGGTTTTATTTATTTGAGTTTGGATTAAGATTATGCTGAGATATTCGTAATTTCTTTTTTTTTCTTACTGTTGAGGAAAATCTTAATTTTACTGACTTGACTGCTATGGTGAATTGCTTATGCACTTCTGTTTCCAGCATTCAATATTTATGTGTGTCTTTCGAGATTCCCTACTGTGAAATTTCTCTGACAGTATTATATCTTTTTGATTTTTTTTATCTAGGGATGAAAATTTGTACTTTCATTTTGTTCTTTTTCTAGAAGGTCGTTCCTTTGTTCTTTCCCTTAAAATCACAGGTGTTCATAATGTCAATTTTCAACAGGTTAATATCGGTTTTACTCTCCATATGTAGATACTGACTAAATAATGCATTGGTAGATATGTGCTCCTTCATATTACTGTATAAAAATTCTTCCCTTAAGTTAAGTGGTTTGCCGTACTGGTTGCATGATAGAATAACATTTATTTTCAACAGCAATTAATATGGGTTTGCTTTCAGCCAGGCATCAACTTATTATCTTATAAAATCTTATAAATGAAATGCAATAATTTAGTAGGTACAGTTCAGATATATATTTTGATGATTATTTCTATGACTCAGGGACAAACATCAAGTGACAGTCCCCCAAGTGAATGTGAGGCTATGGAAAAAATGGCCTACTCTCCTCCAATATTACTGCAAGTGAGTAACATTTCAAGCTGTAGGTTTCATACTTAACCAGTAATATTCACCAAATATATGTTCGAAGTAAAGATGAATGTTTCTTTACTTAGATTACAATCGATTTAACCTCATAACTCCAAAACGATAAGGTATTGGTTGAAGGAATTTAAATGTTTTAAAAGGGCATCTCTAAAGAAATAACGGTTATACGGATTAATGAATATTATAAGGATTCTGAGGGAGGCAACTCTAATAAACCAAGGAATATTCTAAGGGAGGCTACTCTAAAGAAATCACGGTTAAACGGATTATGCAATACTATAAGGGAGGTAACTATAACAAACCGTGAAATATTCTAAGGGAGACAACTCTAAAGAAATCACGGTTAAACGGATTATGGAATACTATAAGGATTCTAAGGGAGATAACTCTAACAAACCGTCAAAGATTCTAATCGAGGCAACTTTAAAGAACAATAGTTAAACTCTTAAAGGTAACATATTTTCTTCACAACTTAGACCATATCGTAAGAAGATAAAGCGTTCTTGCAATGATGAGTTTGAGCAAAAATATCCATAATTTTTTCAGCATTTTCCAATGTACCGGCCTTCAGATGCAAACTGTAGTTTACCAGACTCGGCACCTCCTGATGAAAAAGAGATTCCTTTCACGGTGAATTGGGATTGCCTTTCAGAAAAGTCCAGCAGTCAGGTAAAAACAACTAAAACGCAACAATTTTAAAAGTATAGTGGAAGTATGTGCTATATGTATTATCTCATAGACTAGATATATTATCGTATTAATTTTGATGGTGAGGTAATGTATATTTAGGGATGTATGTGACCTGTTTTATACAGGTATTTGAGTGGATCAAACCTCGCCTGATCTTGAGTGCTCATACCCACCATGGCTGTTATCGTCTCCATCACAACGCTGTTCCAGAATGGACAGTTGCCTCCTTAAGTTGGCACAATAAAAACAACCCTTCATTTCTACAGGTATGTTTATATGTTACAGATTCCAATATCCATCATGTTTTCCAAATTCCAAAGTTGACAGTATTTTTTAGATAAGATTGTTTGATGCAAAATGAAATATGTATAGGCATTAGATATTTAATATAAGTACTCTTCTCTAGGCAATATAACCCCCCTGCAAAAATAGTATTATATATGCAGTAAAATACACCCCCTAAAATTAAAAAAACTGATACAATACTTACCTAATTAGCTTATCTATGAGAAATGGATACAATCCCTTTGAATTTATTTTGAAATTATAATCATTTAAGCAGTGAAATGAATAATTGTCCTTTGATCCTTTAATGACCATAGATGTTGGTGGTATGTTAAGCAATACAAAACCAAACTCTTCCCACAAGACAAAACTTAAGTTTTGAAATGTTATTGTCACCCGTCAATAAATATCAAAGGTATTACAAAGATAATCCATTGCATTGTGAAGATATAAATAAATAGCGATGCTACATTTACAAAAATTAAGGAAATTTTAGGAAACAAAGTTAAATAAGATGAGAAGAATAAGGACGAGAAGAATAAATAAATAAAAAAAAATAAAACACCGACAACATAATTAGATACTGCCACTCTTGACAAGGGAGGTTACTCTTAGATTAAAATCGGTTCTTGTGATATAAACATAAACACTCACGAGTTAAATAACCTTCTATACATTACAGTAACTCTGACAGTGTCGCTCATCTCATTTCTGTTTGTGTATTAGTCTGACTATGAAATACGTTGTGTCAGAATTTTGTTATCATCGACACGTTTTATTGTTGCAGGTGGTGCTGTCTCCAAATGATTTTGTTGTGAATCAGTGTCACCTTCCAAGAGGAACAACTGTGATATTTTTTTATATAACAGGTACACTGATAGCTTTGCTGTGGTTGTTATTTCCCTACAAATCTAGGAATACATTACCGGTTAGAGTATGGGTCAATAAATTACACTGACCAATATATCGGCGTAATTGCCATGCTGACCATTGGCGGAACAAAGACTGATACAATGTTCTTAAGTCACCAATAAAGTCTGGAGAAATACACTTATTAATCCTCTTCCTTATCAATGCGCTTACAAATATTGGGTGGTCAGTGAGGCGTGAATTAAAATTAAAAATATACCAATTTATTCTTTCGTCACATTGCCCATTCGGGATGATCAATAAAGTTGGGATTTGTAGAGAATTCGAAATTCACCAATCATCTTTTCTTCATCAATGATAGGAACTAAATAATCGTGTGTCGCTATCCTGTTTAAATGTTACAGTGATCTTAAACCGCCAAAACAGCCAAGCATAGTAAACAAAAGGCACATGTGTAGATATCTACAGGAAGACTGGATCGTCACACCGTGATTCACTACTTAATCTGGACTGTTAAAGCAGTCAGTAAACTAACCATGAGTCAACATTAAGACAACAATATGTAATGACATAAACCTATAATATGTTTTCCTATAATGAAGAGTATAATATCCAGCGAATGTTAATGTGTATCGTTAGTATGACTTCCATATATACCTTGTGTTTGGTATCTAAAATGTTCTTGGGACATGGATCATTGCACAAGTGTGATTGATCTAAAAATGTTCTCGGGACATGGATCATTGCACAAGTGTGTTTGATCTCAAAAATGTTCTCGGGACAGGGATCATTGCACAAGTGTGTTTGATCTCAAAAATGTTCTCGGGACATGGATCATTGCATAAGTGTGATTGATCTAAAAATGTTCTCGGGACATGGATCATTGCACAAGTGTGTTTGATCTCAAAAATGTTCTTGGGACATGGATCAT